AGAGACAGAACCCCCGCCGGCCCCAGCAGCGGGCCGGGCCCGCGGCTCTCCCCGTTCACCGTGGCCTGGCCCTGCTGCTGCTGCTGCTGCTGCAAGAGCTGGCCCAGCTTGTGCAGGGCGATGGGGTAGTGGCTGGCAGACACCTTGCTGGGGTTCTGAGTGACCCACCGCAGCACTTCCCCCACACTGCGCGAGCGCTCTATCAGACGCTTCATTGTGAAGAAGGTGTCATAACTCATCTTCTCGTGGATGAAGTTCCAGCTCTTCCTCTTGCCATGACCTCGAGTCCTGTAGGCGTCCGGGGGAAAGGTGTGCAGCAGCCCATGGCCGTAGGGGTCCAGGGGGAGCAGCACAGCCCGCTGCTTAGCTTTGCCTGCACAGTAGCAGGTGGGATACATCCCGGCCCTGCTCCTGTCACCAGCAGCCAGGCCCTGCAGGACTCCGGGCCGCACGCTTTCTCGGGTCAGAGCACGGAGCCATGGCAGCAGGCGCAGCATGGCGAGGGCAGGGCGGCTCGAGAGGCTTTGGAGAACCGGGAGATCCTGGGGACGAGAGGTGGGGTGAGGAGGGTGGCGAGCTTGTGCCTCTGGGTCAGCTGGAGCCAGCAAGGGACACATGGAGCCCACGCTGGGACCCCCTACCCACACAGATCCGCCCCAGTCCAGGTGTCCCTGGCCCACACAGCCCCCTGTTCTGGGGTCCCGCCACGCACAGAGATCCCCTTGGTACCGGGACCCCCACCCTGCACGGGCCGCCCAGCCCAAAGTGCCCTGGCCCACACAAGCCCCGTTGTCCCGGGATCCCCAGCCTGCACAGGCGTCCCCACCCTGAAGTCCCCTGGCCCACACAGCCCCCTCCCCGCTCCCGGGGCCCCCGGCTCGCAGATCCCCCTTGTCCCAGGGGCCCCGGCACGCACAGATCCCCGTCCGGTACCAGGACCCCAGGGCCGCCCCGATCTTCCCCCCCACCCCGGTACCGGGACCCCCGAGCCGCACTGAGCGCTCCTCCC